CAAAGTTACGAAGGAGTAGAATTTACATGGAAAAGAATTTTCCTTCAACCTCACTACAAATTCCCCATCAGGTCTCCTAATTTAGTCATTTAACTCAATCAAGTTTCGTTTTCAAGATAACTGCTTTCTCCTTTATTGGTATCCTCTTTTTTTTTTTTTTTAAAGGCTTGTCATTTTGCTTTCAAACGGATTCTTTCCACGGAAAAGCTGTGTCATAGTCTTCGCTGCTCAGGGAAATTTTCGAGAGAAATTCTGTCATTGAGAACTTGTTAGTTTAATGCCGTTTTAGTGTTTTTTAATTTACCCCAAAGATAGAAATTTTCAAGCTATTTTGAGCCACTGCATGATTTTGTTATCGGTTGGAGAACATTGCATTGAAAAAACGGACGAGCACTCAGTGTTTTTATCTGCTGAGAAACGAAAATTCGGAAAAACTGGTGAAAAAACCCTGCAAATTAAAGGTGCCTGTATGAGATCTAACCGCACACTTGTCCAGAAATTATCACAATCAGTTTTTTTTCTTATCATATTTAATCCATGACATTTTTCTTTAACTTCGCTTACAATAGTCAAGTTGATCTCTGCTTGCGAACATTTCCCGCACTAGTTATGACATTTGCTCAAAAGTTTTGGAGATTGATGACGTATATCACATTTCAACTAAGTGAGACTTTACATGTAAGTCTTCTTCGCAGCCGTTCTTTGGAAAGTAACTCAACCCTCTCGTTAAAAGAAGTTTCAAAGAGGGGAATGTTGCGTGACATTCCAAAGAACAGGTCCGAAAGAGACTGAGCAGGTTGGTCATAGCCACAGCCGTTCTCTTGCTTTTACCAAGAATGTCACGTCATTCTGGAAGTGATGTAAATTTTCTGTCTTTTAATTTAATTTACGACTTCCTCTCAACAGGAACCCAAGATGGCGGCACGGTGATTACTCGCACCATAATGATGGGTGGTGCAGAGCCAACTAGAACAGAGACTATTCGTCAGACGACCATGCCTACAGAGATAATTCAAAAGACAATCACCATCGAGGGTGATGGAAACCAGCTGACTGCCGAGGAGCTGAAGGACATCATAGCTAAACATGCAGGAGACATTGGAAGCAGTGAAGTGGTTACCACTGTAAGTCGTGACTATGCCATGGCCATCATGTTGATGGAAAATGAAAGTAATAAAGTGCGGAAACCAAGAAAAAAAAATAGTTTTGTGAGATAGAGAAGCACAAAAATGGGGACCCTAAGCCAAAATAAGAAATAAGACTGTTAGGGATAGAGGAGAATTTCACATCAGGCTTGCAGTATAGCATTTTCGTTTCCTATCTACGTTCACTCTTACAGCGTGTGTTATGTTTACTACAGTTTTCTGTAGAAAAATTACAAATTTCGCGCGCATGCTTTCAAAATTTCGTTTCTCTTGACTTTCTGTGTTGCTCTCTCAATTACATTATTAGTATATGTAATCACATGAATTCTGATGCAGTTTGGTATAAAAAGACACTTAGATCTTTTGAACGATTTACTCATGCTTACTTACACCAAATTGTACTCGAAGTGATGTTGTTACTCCGTCCTTAGACGAGTGCGAGCTTCGAATAACTCTTTTACATACGAAATGTCTCATTCCTTTTCAGACTTACACAACCAAGGTTCAAGAAGTGAAGCAAACGAAAACAATAACAGAAACAATGAGGGTTGTGGATGATGAAGGGAACATCATCAAAACTGGTGACCCTGATACTGATGCTGTAAGTGGTCGGCTCACCACCATTACCATGGTGGCACCAGTGAACTCTCTTGTTGGTCGAACTGTTGTAACTTTTGTCTTAAACAGAAGAATGTTTGAGCCCACGGTAGATTGATTGAAGGTTGCTAAGTAATTCAGTGACGTACGTTTACAACGTAGTGTACGTGCGATTGGTTGAACCGTAAAACTCTGGATTATGAACAAGAAGATTTCCTAGTATTCGGTTAACGTACTAAATATTTCATGAATTTTTTTGCAAGAAGTGGGACGGTGTTTAGACGAAGGCGCTCTTTTTCCTTCACTGTAGTTGCTAAATGACAAATGAATTGTATTTATGTAATTTTCCGTATATTTGTTTGTTTTTCTATTTATTTATTTTTCGACGGAATAGTTTGGTTCCCAAGCTAATCTCTGCAAAAGATTAAGAAGTCAAAGTATTGTACTCATTGCTCTTGCATTGAAATCCTATGTAGGCAATTTGGGAGGCCATCCAGCGAGCAAAGGAAGAGAACCCTAATGCTAAAATAACCGAGGTTGTTATAACCAGGACTGATGAAGAAAGCCAAGCGTAAAGGTAAAGTTATTTTGTTATTTTTAAGCGATTTTCTTTCAACTTCCCGAGTTTTAATGTTTTATTCATTATTCTCTCTAGCTGCATAACGCTGTTGATAATTTTAGTTCTCTTCTGACATTTGACAGTGATTTTAACTGGATCTTGTTTGTTTACACACTTGCTGCTGTGCTTGAACCTTGATTGGCTCATGTCTTTTTGTTCCGCTGTGGCGATTGGTTCTCCTGCTGATGATATGTTCGTGTTATCCTTCCAATTTGAATGTAGACATTCCTTTGTCATGTCAATCCTATGGTTTTTTAATCTCAAATTCAGTCGTCTTTGAAACTTTCTTGATTTTGATGTACGATTTACCATCCGCAGCAGTTAAAACCCACGGAGCCCTTAAGGAATTGCAGTCGGCCAAGCCGACAAGTAGAGGATGAACGCTGCTTCCCTAAAGTGTTACACACTCGTAAAGGATATACTGTAAAAGTTAAGGATGTAAAATCAGTGGTGTTGGAATATTGAAGAGCCCATAGTGTGCCAGTTTAAAACAAGTCTAGGTTGTTGAAGGTGTTGAAGTGGGGGGAGAATTAAACCGCTCAATGGGTTTGTTTGTTTGTTTTTGTCAAGCACTGTATTAGAATTTTATTGTAAATGTGCTTTTAATTTTAGGAAAAGGCGTATGTGCACGTCGTTATTTGGTAGTTAGCTTTTTCAGATGATTAACCGTACACGAAGCCCGTTGCCAGTTCATCCAATGAAAGAATTTCATTTAAGGCGAAATGTTACGCAAGTTTTATTTCGACTTTCACGCATGCAGAGATAAAAATTTTTTGGAGAAGACCTTATCGTTACAAAAGTAACAAACTTTGATAAGCTCTAGGTATATTATCTTCTTATTATCTCTGTTTCTATTTTTTAAAATGCCCCCAAATCATTCAACATCCTAGGGATTTTGAAACTAACTCGATTCAAACACATTAAATTATAGTATTTTAAGATTGCTTTAAGTTAAAATTCCTGCTTTTAGTTTTGTAATAAGGTAACCATTTTCTAAATAAGATGAATTGGGGTCGTTTCATGCGGAAGCTTCCCACGGTATGGTTTGTTTCCAATTAATAGCTTTAGGTGTTCGCTTCCCATAGTTTCGAGCTTTTATCTAAGATGGTGGAAGATTAAAGATGTATCATTCGCGGTACTTAGCTCTATAATTTTAATCTTTTATCTAAGATGGTTGAAGACTAAATGATGTATCATGAGATGATAAGATGTATCATTCGGGGTACCTAGCTCAGCAACGTTTTAAAATCATGATTTTTACGAGTGAATCCCTTCTTTCGTATGAGTGTGGGCTTTGCTCAATTCGGGGCACGTTGAGAACGCTACTGCTGAAATGATTCGTGAACTTTGTATTCGATAGTACACCTCAACAGGATAGCTTCAAAACTGCTTTGCAGTTATTATAGCTCCTAAAACGGGAAGCGTGTACATTTGCCATGTATGAGGTTCACATTTTAGATAAGTTTATTTAATGGAATAATTACTTTTAATTAACGCTGTTACAACGACTCTGTTGAAGTTGATAAGTTGTAGGCATCTTACATGACCGTGTAAGCGTCCTCTCATTGGGTGGCTTTTAATAAACTTCGTTATATAGTTAAATTTTCTGGTCTCATGGCACATTTTGATACAGTGCTTTCAGGGTAACGATCATAAGTATTGAACATACTGGATGGATTTGAGCCCATTGTCTTCCATCGTAATCCCCTCTCCCTTTTGACACAAGGTATCTTTTACAACTCCAACACACCCCCCCCCCCCCCCCCCTTCACCTCTACACAGGAGATCCATGGTACCTGACACAGCCACACACTCCCTGCACAGGAAATCCATGGTTTCTACTCTAACCCCACCACCCTGACGTGTTTCGATTGATTGACGTGGCAAAAGAAAATAATTATTTCAGCGGCCAATCATAATCGAGAAGAGTTTTACAAAGAGCCTATAAATTGGGGAAGACTGGGGAAGACTGCGGGAGAGTGCGAGTGACCGAGTCATGATAGGTCTCATTGTTGCATCTGATTGGTTGAGAGGATGGGAAGGATTTTCAAAATAATCACAGAGCGTAGTGAAATAGAAACTAATTCAGTTCCAAGCTACTTTAGACTTATACAAAATTTTCTTTAAGTAAGCATTACTGCATTTTTCAACAGTAAAAGAAATGAATTATTTCTCATATGAACTTCGTACGTCAACTCGCTTTTACTTCGGTATATTTCTGGAGTTGATCTTAGCAGTCCACAGTCCATTTGTGATGCATAAACTAAGAATTTGCTCAGGCTTGCTGACGAGTTCCCGCTACCCGATGGCTGGAGCATCTTACCGCAGAAGCAGTCCCGACTACAGTTCAAATACTATCAGGGGGAACTTGTCAGCTGTTTTACTTATCAACTTTTCGTGGTTACTGGTCTTTAAAAGCCAGCACTATAACGCTATCGTATGTGAGTGTGGGTGAGTAAGTAAGCTAAGCCTGCGACTGTCACGTTAGGATTTACTCGAGCTCTTTTGATCGATTAGTACACAATCCTGGCAAAAATTGCTGCTGAATTTGAACAATATCGAATCAAATAGCAGAATTTTCATAAAAATGTCATCTTGGATTCGTAACGCTTTTCCTCAGAGTCTTTACGCATTTGATACTTGCAGTACGTAGTCCACTTGTTACATATAAAATTATAATTTGCTCTCCATTCATGGCAAGTTCCCAGCAGCTCGGTGGGTAGAGCATTGTACCGCGAAAGAGGTCCCAGTCGGGATGGAGATCCTGTTCCGGGGAGCTTGCCGTATTTCTTTTTTTTCATTATTCATTTTGTAAGCTTTTTTTCTGATGATTTGTTGGTTTTCCCATTTTATACCACGCTTATAAATAGTCTGGAATGTCTTTCAATTGTATACTCGTCTTTTTACTTCATTACGTCAGCGAATGTTTCTCTCCTTAATGGCAAGTTCACCCTTTTTCTACACTCTTAAATTCAGGAAATTTATCTAAACACTTCGGAGTTTGAACATTATTTAATCAAACAACAAAGTTCGTGTAGTTATGTCATTTTAGAGTCAAAACACTTTTTCAATGAAATTTTGTACACTTGTTCCTTCCAGTACGTACTCCACTTGTTACATATAATCTTAAAATTTATTCTTCAATCATGGCAAGTTCCCCGCAGCTCAGTGGGTAGAGCATTGTACCGCGAAAGCGGTCCCAGTCAGGATGGAGATCCTGACTCGGGGAACTTGCCGTTTTTTTTTCCTTTTATTCGATTTCTTTTTTAATTTTTTTTTCGATGATTTGATGGTTTTCCTATTTTATACGAAGGTTATAAACAGTCCGTAACGTGTTTTTAAACTCATTTTCTCACTTCATTACATTAGCGAAGGTTTCTTCCAATTATTGGTAAGTTTACCCTTTTCCTAAACTCTTACATTCAGGACATGCATCGAAACGCTGCTCAAATGGAACATTATTATATCAAACAAAGACGTTTTTGTAGTAATGTCTTTTTAGAGTCAAAACACTATTTCCTCAGAATCTTAGTGCACTTGTTCCTTGCAACACGTATTCTTTTTGTTATATATAATCTTAATATTTACTTCTTAATCATGGCAAGTTCCCCGCAGCTCAGTGAGTAGAGCACTGGACCGCGAATGCGGTCCCAGTCAGGATAGAGATCCTGACCCGGGGAACTTGCCGGTTTTTTGTTTCTTTGTTTGTTCTTTTGTTTCTTTTTAAATATTTTCCTTTTTTCGATGATTTGTTGGTTTTTGTATTTTATACAAAGCCCATAATTACTTTGAAATGTCTTTTTATACTCGTCTTTTCACTTCATTTCATTAACGAACTTTTTATTCCACTTATTGGCAAGTTTACCCGTTTCTTACACTCTTAAATTGAGGACATGCATCGAAACGCCACTGAATTCGAGCATTATTAAACTGTTAAATAGTATAGTTTGCGTTAAATGTTATCTTAGATCCAAATAACACTTTTTCCTTAGAGTGTTTGCGCACTCGAACCCTGCAGTACGCAATCCACTTGTTACCAGTATAAACTTAAAAGTTCCCCGCAGCGCAGTGGGTTGAACATTCTACAGTCAGATGCTAACCCTGTCAAGGAGGACTTGCCGCTTGTTTGCTTTAATTTTTTTAACCTTATTTTTTTCGGATGATTTGTTTCTTTTCTCATTTTACACCCAACTTTTAAACAGTCTGGAATGTCTTGTATAACGTTTTGTTCATTTACGCACATCAGCCATGGTTTTTTTTTTATCACTTATTGACAAGTTAATTCTTCTCCTACACTCTAAATTGAGGACATGCAACTGAACGCTATTGAATTTAAACATTATTAAAGTGGCAAATAGCAGTGAATGCGTTACAATGTCATCTTATAATCAAAACACTTTTTCTCAGAATGTTTGTGCAGTTGATCCTTGCAGTCAATCCACTTGTTACCTATGAACTTAAAATTTGCTTTTTCGCAGGTTTCCCTCAGCTCAGTAGGTAGAGCATAGAGCTGCAAAAGCGGTCTTAGTCAGGATGGAGATACTATTCGGAGAACTTGCCGTTATTTTTGTTTGATTTCTTTTTAATCTTTTTTTTTATGATTTTCTTTCCCCACTTAATAGCCAACTTATGGATAGTCTTGAATGTCTTTATATACAGGTCCTTTGATTTTACTACAGCAGCGAATGTTTTTTTTTTTTTATTTTCGAGTACTTATTGGCGGGTTTTCCCTTTTCCCACATCAAAAACTTGAGGATATGCAACCAAACACGACTGAATTTGAACACTGTTAATAAAAAAAAAGCTGTGAGAGTTTTCTATGATAATGTCTTGTTAGAGTAAAAACGCTTCTTCCTCAAAAGGTTAATGCACTTGTTCCTTGCAAAAACTTGTAAAATGTAATCTTAAAATTAATTCTTCTTTCATGGCAAGTTCCCCGCAGCTCAGTGGGTAGAGCATTATACCGCGAACGCGGTCCGAGTCAGGATGAAAATCTTGCCGTTTTTTGCCTTTTTTTTTTTTTTAGATTTTTTATTTTTTATCTTTCTTTTTCTTTTGTCTTTTGATGATTCATTTCTTTTCTCATTTTATACCAATCGTCGGTATTGCAGTAATGTTATCTTAGAGTCAAAACACTTTTTCCTAAGAATCCTTGCTCACATATTCCCTGCAGTACGTAATCCACTTGTTACAAATAATCTTTAAATTTTCTTTCCATTTATGGCAAGTTCCCCGCAGCTCAGTAGATAGAACATTGTACCGCGAAAGCAGTCCCAGTGAGGATGGAGATTCTTTTCCGGGGAATTTGCTGTTTTATTGTTTGCTATTTCTTTTTTAACCTTTTTCTTTTTTTTCGGTGATGTTTCATTTTTCTTTTTTCAGCCAGCTGATAAATAATCTGGATTGTCTTTGTTTGACGGTCT